CATGTTAGGAGTTCTTAATATGAATAAAGATTTATACCTGGCCAAGTTTATCATCTGTTTTAACATTACAATTACACTTTACCATTTTATCCCATTATATGAAAAGTAAGCAGGTGCCAGAAGAATGAAAACTGGCTAATGTTACTCCTCTTTTGAAGGGAGGTGATAATTGTCCCTGTAATTATATGCCTATTATTTTTAGATCAGTAGTGTGAAAATATTTTGAAAGTCTGATGAAAAATTATGATTTGCAAAATCATTTAACAAAGTTAAAAAGTTAACATTTTCCTTTACCTGAAAATATATTGCAGATAGATACTCACCTCTTTGCATTACAAAGAACCATTACCTTGCATACACTATAGTGTAAACTCCTGCATATGCCACAAGCCTTGAACAAAGCTTCCACCCCTACATGTGTCAATGTGTATTACCAGCCTATGATGCAATCATCATTAGATGAGAGCCATTCACCAATAGGAGGATGACACATCCTTCATAGTAATCCCCAAGAGCACTAGCACATAAGCACATGCTCATTCATAACAAGGCAAACTAAATGCATCAGCAATGATGGAGAAAGGGTGGGAGGTGGTCCATAGAGGTAAGAAAATATGAACTTCAGAAACACTACTCACCTTTTTCCACCACAAAGAAATAGATTCCCACATTGAAGACAGTGGAGGGGCCACTGCAGATAAACTACAAATATGAGCTCCTTTCTAAAACAGCATCAAAAGAGGAAAGTTCATAGAATGTGACATCCACAAGGTGGGAATAGCCTAGTGGGCAGTACACTGTGGGAGATTGTATCCATCTCAAACAGAGGTGTTAAAGCAAAAGATATTGTCCTAAGAATCTTTTGCTGTGTGATAACGTGTTGCCAAGTGGGCAGAGTGACAGAATGATCAATTGTCCATTATAGCACAGACAGACCGCTAGCATGAGTGTGTACTGTGGTTTAGGTTATAAGTCAGGCCTTCCATGTTGGAGAAATATGAGATACCACAAACATTAGGTGCAGGGAGAAGTATCCCAGACCTGTGTCTCAAGAGAAACCCAAGATCCATCTGGCTAGACCTGACCACTGGGAATAGCTTGGTTCATAATACAGTGGGATGTTCTGCATTACACTACATGGTAACACCCTAGCCCTACTTTCCAAATGAGGACGGCATCCACTCTTAGATATGGATTGAACCACCTGATGAGGAATTCTCCATACTAATCTCCCAACTGGCTTGAATATGAGAAATAAATGGTTCTTCCATACTCCACTAGGAAGGGGGGGGGGGAGATTCACACAGAAAAAAACACTTTAGAGATGTGCAGACCATTGTCATCAGGCATAGTCGTGTGGAATTAGGTCCCATAATGGGAGAAAGTGCAATGTATTGCTACAACTAAAGATAGTAGATGCAAGCCAAAAGTGAAGGTAGGCACATGCCTGATGTTTTTGTTTTTTTAAACAAGTGCAGAATGGCCTGGAAGATAGGTATAGATACTGCTGAAGCAATCTTGTGGAAAAATTTATCCCAAAACCAGGCACTGAGCAGGGGTGGATGGGCCTAATAGTTTCTGTACTGCCCAGTTTGATGTGGATTTGGGGTGAGCATTCCCTGTGAAGCAACACTAGCCACTCGATGGGTTCCATTGTCTCCATAATATAGATATAAATATAAATATATATAGTTTGAATACGTTGCTTGTGAGACCTGAAAAAAAAAGGAGAAAAATAAATAACTCACCATCAGAGACACTGTGAAGAGTGAAGAATGGCATTTGGAGGGAGACAAAAGCCTTGGTAAGTAAAACCTTCCTGTGGTTGTGGGACATTAACATGTCAAAAGTCATCAACATCACCACCTGCAATATCTCATACAGAGGACATAAATGGCCTGTACAGTCTGGGATTGGATACCAAATGAGTGGAAGCAAGGAGAGGAGGGTAGGTAGAAAGGCAGTGATGATGGGATGCCTAAGTGATCTGATTGAAATGTTTAATATTAAGGAACTTGAGGGTGTTGAAGTATCTTTTTTTTTCATATTTAATAGTCAGAAACTCCCAAAATTCATCTATATTATTTGCATAATTAATGAAAAAGCCTGAGGGAATCTACTAAGTACATTTTCCCAGTCAAGAAACAAATAAATATATCAATTATAATCACTCTTTGCTTTCTGCCACTAAATAAATTTTCAATGTACTTCTCACTTTTTTCACCAATTCCATAAGTATACAACTTACTAATCAATCCCCTGCTTACGACAGAAATTAAACTGAGAGAACCACAGTTTCCAGGATCTGCCCAAAACCCTTTCTTTCTAAAACTCAGGCACTACATTCACAATATTTCAGTCATAAAGAATTTCCTAAGTGTTCAGACTCTTCTGAAAAACTTTTTCAAGATTTTAGAATAAATACTGTCAGAGATAAAAGCTTATTCTCAATAAGTTTCTCTGGCTTTTTCAGAATAGTCATTTTTTCAACATGAGTAGAATTTAAAGAAAATTCTCCCCAACCGTAAAGAAACTGGTCAGTCTGTGAACTTATTCCTGAATTAAATAATGAAAAATGTGTAAAAACCATTGTTTAGCACTTTAACCATGTTCACTTCTTAGCACTATACCATTCCAAATGTTTTATAGGACCAATGTTATTCTTTACTCCCTTTTACCAGTTAATATAAGCAATAAATCCTCTAAGTCAAATTTGATGTTTTGAGTTCAGAAACTTTCATATTTCCTCTTATATGATTCACTTTAATAACTTTTTTATCTTCTCTTTATTTTCCCTATAATCCTCTGCAACTCTCATTATAAAAGTAATTTTAATGTTTTTTTATAAACTAAGTATTTTTAACTTAAGAAGATGTTTAATTCCTCTGTTCATTTATTTAGGTAAATATTTTTGACTGGAATATATTCCTTCTTCGCTACTTTGATTGAACTAACCAAAACATCTGAAGTTTCAATAACATTAATTCCACTAAGATTACCAACTCAAGTTTTCTACCACAGAAAGTATTGTGGTCTTTCTAAGACTACAACTGGTTTCAATGAAAAATTAAAGGTGTGGTATACGGGCACATCATACATTTTCTACCCCCTAGGTTAATACCTAAAGTTTTCAAAAGTTCTATAAATATGGAGTGTATTTAGCTTCTGATATAGAATATCAGTTAAGGGAACAACTCTAAGTTTCAGGCATGAAACAAAGTCACACAAGTAGGTCATCAAAACAAATGTGCTTCTTACAATACCTGAACAGCCTGGGCTACGTTTAGATATATAAGACCATGTTCTCTCTGGTATAATAAGATTACTAGAGGATTCAGAACACTAATTTCAGAGAGATTCTACTTTAGAGGAGAGATCACTTTAGGTTAGAACTTAAAATCTTGCTTAGAAAAGTAACACCAAATTACTCCAGATGGATATGAATGAACATCTTTCTCCCTTTCTATAATAAAGGAAATTTACAATTATGGATTGGGTATGCTGTGATTAAAGATAGTGATTGTGTACCAAGACATGTCCACTCTCTTTAATGAAATTCAGACTTAGTTGATGGCAGTAAAAATATGGCACTAATCTGTAATATATAGGATTCAATTTAACCTTCTGTTTTTATGGTTCCTGCAGGCTACTGTAAGGGAAATCAGGGCACTGGGAATACCACAAAGTTAACAATGTTACTTACAATCACCAGTGCTCAAATAGTCTTGCACAACTAAATTTTTAGTTGTATCTTTCTCAGAACTATAAACAGCTTCAGAAATAGCAGCTTTCTTAAACACATATACCAAGAAAACATTACATAAAAACCTCAAAGTTCAAGAAATTTTTCTGTTGCATGAGATAAAAATTAACCAAAACAACCAATTTTCCTAAAATTAAAGTCTTCCATAATAATAAACTTGTTTCTATTGGTAGAATAATACATCTGCCAAAACATAATCAAACCCATATCAATAATCTGAACAGGCAATGTTAATTTCTTTAAAGTAGACATACTAAAACTACTACTTCAGTACTTGTATTAAGTGTACTATTGCAGTGGTTAACAACTAATGAACCATGGACCAGTACTAGTCCACTTGGAAATTTCACTTTCAGTTTCACCCACTCAACAAGACAATTGAAATTTTTTTTTTTTTTTAAATAGCTACTTTTAGGTTTAAAAGTTAGCAATAATATTAATACTGTACGAAGTGGTCCATGCAATTTTGGGTTCCGAACTAGCTGGTTCTCATTAGCAATCGATGTGTTCGAAGGAAAACGAAGTTTGATAAT